CTTTTAGCCATCCTATTTGTTAAAAAAAAAAAAAAACCTGCAGTATGACTTTTTATAACTGTCCATTGTTGTCATCATTCTTTGTTAAATCAGGTCTCTCTTGTAAATGAGTCCTCGAGGCTCAATGGGATTTACCTGTAGAAATAAAGGTTGATTGATAACTCAGGAGTGTCGTATAAAACACTTTGACCTCCAAAACCAAAATGAATAAATCTATTTGTGCTGATTTTTTCAGTCAAAATGAGGAAGTCAGGATTAATGGCTACAATGAGCACGTTAGTTGCAGAACGCACCCTGACACAATGAGAATGGTGCAAAAAAAGTAAAATAAAAAAACCTAATCCCGGCCGCAAAATGTTCCCCGGGGTCACATGCGCCCCCCTTGGCATTGCTCCGGGCCCCCCCAGGGAGGCGTGCCCCACTATTTGAGAAGGACTGCTGTAGAGCAACATTATTCTGAAGTTGGGCCAGTATTTTTAAACAGGTTCATAAACTTCTGAGCCTCTGCTCGTCTTTACTGAGTTTCATCCAAAATGCTCTTTTTATACATGTTTGTCTAATTAATCGACTCGGTTGCAAAGTGCTCCTTCAACTTTTTTTACAGCCTTTTCTTGATCTTGTTCAGTTTTACTGAAATCCAATTTAAATGTACCTATTTGTTTTCTTTCCTTAATTTAAATCAAAACATTCTTTGTTAGCTTTTTGTTCAACTCAAAGATAAAGTGAAATTGCTGCAGTGACTACATTTCGTGCATTTTTTACATGCAGCTTTCATTCTGTGCTCTTTGCTTTTTTTCTTGCTTCCAGGAGCGTTTCCTGCCTTTGTCACGTACGCACGTAAAGACCAACTTCGCCGACCGGCACACGTGGCGACCAAAACCTTCCAAGCGTTGAGAATCTTTGTGAACGATGAGCTGAACGAACTGCACGCAGCGCTGCGTGCGGCCCAGGAAGCACTGAGACCCGGTGGACGTCTCTGTGTGATCACGTTTCACTCTTTAGAGGACAGACTGGTCAAACGGTTCCTGCAGGGAGGTGACTTGTCTGATCTGAATCAGTTCCACTTCAGCCCAAAGAAAAAGGGCAGCAGGAAGGAAAATCGGGTGAAGGAGAAACAAGATTTTAAAAGTGCCTACTGGCTTCTTGTGCGAAAAAAAGTGATCACTCCTGAAAAAGATGAGGTGAGAGACAATCCTCGAGGACGCTCCGCCAAACTGAGGACAGCACTCCGAATTTAACTGTGCAACTTTAAATATTAGAGATGATCATTGATGTTCTTGTTCTCAATATATCTGTATTATTTTGTACAAATACATTGCACAGTTCAGAACTAAATGCATATGAGCAGGGATTCTACAGTTTTTCAACCATAGCAAAGAAATGAGTGACTCCTAATTGTTGGTTGAGAACATTTTTCAGAGTCAGAGTTTCTTTATTGTCATTCGCACCTCATGTGGTACATGTGGTGGAGTGAAATTATGTACACAGGGTCCCAGTTAATAATGAATGAATAATGAATAAATATCAGTTTTGTTCTTTTCCAAGACAAAGATTTCTGCCTTTCAACACATCACTGTGTCAGTTTGTGAAACAAGAATTGAATAAACTTTTATATGTAACAAAATAAACTTGAAATGTCTTTCATAGCATTTTAGACAGACTTGAGCATTTGAGAACTTTTTTATTTATTTTTTTTATTTTTTTTTTTGCCAAGAGAAATCTTTGTCCAGTTATTTGAATGTCCTTTGACTGACCTCAGCAGCTGGTGGGCATGTATCAAATCATAGCAGTGGAAGTACATGAGACACAAGAAACAAGCTTTTAAAAACATGCTCCCTTTTTAGCACAATTACACTAACATGACAAATGGACACATCTCCTACTCAAAGTCAACAAAACAAGGAAATATCTGCATTATTAAGAGACGAACATTTCTGGAAATCTCAAGAAAGCAGAATGTTTTTTTTAAGGTGCATGTTTTTTTCTTTTTGTTTTTTTACCAGGAATCTCACTTGACAACATTTCTTGGATGCAGAGGAAAAAAGTTTATCTTGTTGCAGTGGTCAGGTGATTTTTGGATGAAGTCCTGACAACACGGCCTGTAATCAGTCTGTCCTGTTCCAGGTTACTTCTTAGAAATGACCAGATCCTCTTCAGCGGACAGAAACACCTGACTAACTCTGCCCTTCTCACCAGGGTTCTCACAATAGTGTGTGTTTATTTCAACAAAAAGCCCTGAAGGTCTTCTCAGTCAAAACCCTTTAAAGCTACAATGCAAATCTTGCATCGCTAATATTTTCATGGTTTCCCTTCAAATCGATGATTGGGGAAAATCTAAAAAAGTTAAATCTGGTCCTCTGGACGTTCAAAAAAAAAAAAAGCAAAACAACAAAAAAATGTAGAAACATTTCTACATTTTTTTGTTTTACTTTGTTTTTTTATTGTTGTTTCTTGTAATGCCCAGAGGACCAGATTTAACTTTTTTTTAGATTTTTCTACCTGGATTATTGAGCATGCATCAGGATGGATTGGGAAAAAGGTTGCACTGACAGTCTGACCTTCTCTTGAAAGCAAGTAAAACAAAAGCTACAAGGTTTCATTTGTCCAGAGCAAAATTGTTGGGTCTACATCCATGAATACTGGGTGCAGTGGTGGGTACGGTAGTTACAGCCAGTTATGAATCTTAGTGCACCGTGATAGACAGCATCCAGCATCTGCAGCATCCAACATCTGCAGCATCCAGCATCTGCAGCATCCAACATCTGCAGCATCCAACATCTGCAGGGTTCTTGTCAGAGTCAAGAGTTTCTTTATTGTCATTCGCACCTCGTGTGGTACATGTGGTGGAGCGAAATTATGTCCCCAGGGTCCCAGTTACATCCAACAATAAAATGTATGAGAAAAACAGTAATAACATCTAAGATATGAACTAAGAAAAACATCAACTAAATATACACTAAGCACTCATAACATAAAACATTGAACATCAGCACAAACATGAACATGAGTCTGTGAGCAGATGTGCACGCATGAACACATCAACATTGAAACAGATCAGCAGCAACATGAAACAGATCAGCAGCAACATGAAACAGATCAGCAGCAACATGATGTGATTTTTCACAGTGATTATTCTAGTCAGAGATTCATGAGTCTAACAGCCTCAGGGTAGAAGCTGTTCCTCAGTCTAGTGGTTCTACACTTAATGCTCCTCAACCTCCTTCCTGAGGGGAGTGGGGCAAAAAGTGTGTGTGCTGGGTGGGTGGGGTCCTTCATGATGCAGGTGGTCCTCTTCCTGCATCTGGAGGTGTAGATGTCTGTGATGGTGGGGAGACTGACTCCAACATCTTCTGTGCAGCCTTCACCACTCTCTGCAAAGCTTTTCTTTCTGCAGCTGTGCAGCCTCCATGCCACACATTGATGCTGGAGCACAGGATGCTCTCCACTGCACACCTGTAGAAGGAGGTGAGGACTGAGCTTCCAGACCAGCTCGTCTCAGCCGTCTGAGGAAGTAGAGTCTCTGATGAGCTTTCTTCATCAGGCTGGTGGTGTTGTTGCTCCAGCTGAGGTTGTTGTTCAGGTGCACACCCAAGTACTTGTAGCTGGAGACCACTTCCACCACAGATCCTCTTATGTTCAGGGGGGTGTAGGTGTTTTTGTTCCTTCTGAAGTCCACAATCATCTCCTTTGTCTTCTTCACATTGATGTGAAGGTTATTCTCTCTGCACCAGCTCTCCAGGTGTTCCACCTCTTGCCTGTAGCTGGACTCATCATTGTTTGTGATGCATCCCACCACCGCTGTATCATCTGCAAACTTTACAATGTGACAGCCTGGATGGGTAGCTGCACAATCATACGTGAGCAGAGTAAACAGGAGGGGGCTCAACACACATCCCTGAGGAGAGCCAGTGCTGAGGGTTATGGTGGAGGAGGAGAGGTTGTGGATCCTCACTAACTGTGGTCTGTTTGTTAAGAAGTCTAGGACCCAGTTGCAAATGGAGGGGCTTAGTCCTGTAGGACTTGTAGGAGCGTTCATGTAAATAATGTCACCGTAATCAATGGAGGGAAAGAAAGTCACAGATACAAGGTGTTTCCTAACATTCAGAGTTAGACAGGATCTGTTTCTGAATGATATATGGTTCTAGACTTTGGACTGAACAAAATTTGCCTTTACAAGCAGACCAGTAGGTGTGGCCTAAAACCTGTCAATCACCTAAAGCTTAACAATCCTTTTAAAAAATATTCAGTGGTTTTCTTGTGACTGTTGCTGATTTTGTTCATCAAAATATGAAACTTCGTTTGACACTAATTGTATTATCCTTATTGTAAATGTCAGAGAGGGCTTAGCTTCACAGGACCATTAAAACCAGGCGTTTCTGGTTATTGCTCGAAATCTGTCAATATTTTATCCATGTACCCATTAACGGGCCTAATGATAGAAATAATCAAACCAGTGTGACCCATCTTTTTAAGAAGAAACATATAGATGTTGCCACCTCCAGATCTTTTGTTCAGCCTAACAAATTGTCTTTTCTTGCTTGATCAACAGTATTTTAATACTTGAATGTAAATCTTTAAAATACAGAATTATGAGCTTTAGATAAGGTTTTATAATATATTATTTTCATCTTGTGTTCTTTTCTTTTCAGTCCTGTAGGACTGAAACATTAAGCATTAACAACACAAACAATCTAAAAAAGTTAAATCTGGTCCTCTGGACATTCAAAAAAACCCAAAACAAAGCAAAACAACAAAAAATGTAGAAACTTTTCATTTCTCGTCCGAGAGACTTCCTCAGTCTGAGGTGCTGTATTCAGCTCAGTCTCTTAAATAGCACCTTCTCAGAGTGGATCAACCAGTTTGCTGCTGACAACCAAAACCAGCTGATCACATGATCAAGAAGGACCATCAGCCTAACAATGGATCATTAGCACCTGATGGCTGTTTACTGTTCACAGAGGGCTGAGTGATACTAGCAATCACAGCATTGTAAGAGGGGGACAGTTGAACCTGGAGGCCTCCACCCCTGTTTAATGATGGACGGTTTCTTTTCACAAAGATGGCCTCCTTTACTCCTCTCTCAAACCATCGTTCCTCTCTGTCCAGGATGTGAACATCTTCATCCCTGAAAGAGTGACCTCTGGCCTGGAGATGAGTGTAGACCGCAGAGTCCTGGCCTGATGATGTTGATCTTCTGTGCTGGGCCATCCTTTTGGCCAGTGGCTGTTTAGTTTCCCCGATGTAAGACTGATCACCCTCCTGACACTGAACAGCATACACAACATTACTCTGTTTGTCAGAATCAGAATCAGTTTATTATCGCCATGTCAATGAACGAGGTTCACAAACTAGGAATTTGCTTCGACATAAGGTGCGAATAGTAGTGCCGGGGGACTACAGGTTGGCAACAATAGGAGAAACTGGAGACCCCATAGCACACCC